CTCACCCATCATCCTTGACCATCTCAACTCCAGTGAACTTCACTTCCACCACCCAGAATGCTCCGCTGCTAAATCTTACATCCCAACGTCCCACATTCTAACCGTAACCACAGCTTACAGTCTTCTTTCTTTCTCTCACTCTCTCTTCTCATCTCAATGTTTATTTCCATTGCATGAAGATTCCCAGTCCCTAACCCTAATATTAGACCTGGGCAAGAGGGGCCCCCACCCTGGGCCTCATACTTTAGAGTGACTCACTCTAACCCTTCTCACATTGTGCCTTTTCCTATGGGGTGAGGAGTCTGCAGGGCCAAGGGAACATGCCCCCCAAAGCCCATGCCCACCCTTTCCTTATCTGGACCAAACTCTGGATACAGAAGATCTCAGTCTTCCCAGTTGAAACAGTCCTGAGCCTCATTCTGGGGCCTGCATGGACTTCTCCAGAGCCCTTTCTTCTGAGCATGGATTGAACTACCAGTGACACACCCCTAAGCCCATGGGATAGTGTTATGAGAGGTTCGGGGATTCGATCGGAGACGTAAAAGACACTTTCCACTCCAAACAAATGGACTGAAGGTATATTTTATTATATAGAGGATAGTAAAGGCGACAGTCTGCAAACAGATCAAATAGGTCAAATATTAAGAGGAAAAAACATCAGCCCGACTGGAAAGGGAAAACACCCACATCAGCTGAAGAGAAATGACACAAATCAACCAGAAAGAGAAACACCAGGTTGACCAAAAAGAGAACACATCAAATCAATTACTTCATATCAAATCAATTATTTCACATCAAATCAGTTACTCACAACATCCACGCCCCACTGCCGGGAGAGCCCTGTCAATCGACGCGGCTGGGCAAGGATCACACGTCCTGGGCAAGGTGTCCCTTCCACAGGTGGAACTCTCACCAGGTCTCAGCTTCCAGCAGTTTATATAAGCAGTTACAGAGTTTACAGAGCAAGCATCTAGTGTTCCCATGCACAAAACAGTTATCAGTGGCATATGTGCACTGAGCCCCTTGGCTAACGTCCCAGCCCAGTGGTTGTGTACGTGCATTGTTTTCTTTGGTTATCGTCTTAGCCCGGCACAGATGGCCAGTCCATCCCGTGCTACGACACTCCAAGAGCCTTGAAATGTTACAACTTGCAACTCCCTCCGTGAGAGAAGGGCCAGTTCCCACCACGCAGAAAGCAGCTTTTATATTTCTTTTTGTGTTGGTGGCTGTAGGTCAATGGAGCGGCCAAACATGGCTGTATTCATGTCAAGACAGATAGTCAAGGAGCATATGTATGTGAGGCGGGATGGAGCTTGGATGTGTGGGCTGGGGTGTATTCCTCACACTGAAGGACAGAGCCTGGGGCAGGAAGAAAAGGAATGTGTATCTAGAGCTGGCTCTCCCCATGTGACCTCATCTGGCACAGACAGGAGTAGGACTGAGTCCTAATAAAGGCATCTTCAAAATTTGCCTGGCTGGATTTCAGAACTGTTGTGGACTCCTGTGTATCTCCTGTTTCCCTCTTTTTGACCAGGGGTGTCTTTAGCAGTTATCCTGTGCCTATCCCACTCTGTGTGTGTTAGATGTGTGTGTAGGGGGCAGACAGCTTCTCTCTTTAGTTCATAGGTCTTCAAATCAAGAGGAACTGTACTGGAGTTGCTGCACTTAAGGAACTACACCTGAGAGGCCTCTTGCTGATGCTATAAAGGCTGGAGGTTTTGGGGAAGTCTTGGGAGGGAATCAGTGTATTTTCTGTTTAGAAGAAATAGAAATAATGTGACCAGAGGATCGACTGTGGTGATTTAAAATATGTCCACAAATCCTTTGACACTCCTTTCAAAAGGTGGAGCCTAATTGCTCTTCCCTTGAGTGTGGACTAGTCTTAGTAACTGACTTCTAACAAAGAGAATAAGGCAGAAATGACAGTGTGATTCCTGAGGCTGGATCATATAAGACATTGTGGCTTCAGTCTCTCTCTCTCTCGAATCACTTGCTCTGGGAGAAGCAGCTGCCATGTCATGAGGACACTCAAGCAGCCCTATGGAGAGATCCACATGATGAGGACCTGAGGCCTCTTCCCAATAGCCACATGAGGGAGCCATCTTGGAGGTGTATCCTTCAGCACAGTCAAGCCTTTAAAAGACTGTAGCCCCAGCCAACATCTTGACTGCAACCTCATGAGAGGCCCTGAGCCAGAACCACCCAACTAAGCCATTCCCTAATTTCTGACCCACAGAAGCTTCCAGATAATAAAATGTTTGTTGTTTTAAGCTACTAAGTTTTGGGGTAATTTGTTACACAGTAATAGTAACTAATACTCTGTCTTTACCTCACTTGAGTGCTCCTCAGGATGTGACACTGTTGAGTGCTCCTTCCTCCCCACTGCTCTCCCCTTTGGCTTCCAGGAAAACACTCCCTCCTGAGTTTTCTTTTAGCCTCTTACCCAGACCTTTCTCCTAGGCTTCATAATTGCCTACTGGACAACTCCATTTAGATGTGGCCCCTGGCTCCTCATACTTATCCGAAATTGAATCATCCTCTTTACTCTCACACCTGTCCCTCTTCCTGTAGCCCTTCCGACAGTGAGTAGAACCTTTGTCCTCCTAGTTGCTCAAGCCAGAAATGTTGCTCCCAGCCACCCTAGACTCCTCCTCATTCACTGTTTTTAGGACCTTCAGTATTTAGCTCCAGCCAACATCTTTACACTAATCTCTCAACTTTTTCTACAGGTTTTTCCAGCTTTACTTACTTGTGGTTTCCAAATGATTCTTGTCACTTCAAGCCCCCATATGGCTTTGCACATACCTCTTTCTAGAATTTTGCTTTTCCATCCTTGACCTTAGGGCTTTTTAATTTTGATAAGTCCTACTTTGAAACTTTAGTGCAAGCGTCTCCTCAGCCTGACTGTGCCCACAGTCCTCTGTGGCAATATACTTTTACAAGGATGTTTGCACAGCAAACAGCCTTTGGAAATAGAGGTAGTGTCTCCTTCTAGGGCAGAGGCAAGATTTAATTTCCTGAGAAGTACACTGTAATGTCTGCCTCTGGGGCAAAGGTTGGGCAGGTTTTTTAGCAGCTCCTTATAAGCAGGGGGTTTCCTAAGGTCAGGATTCCTGAACTGTGACATAAATACATGGTGTGCACAGCTTCTACCTAGGTGCTCTGCATCACTCCTGTGGGACGTAGAAGGCAAGTGGAACTGATTCCACCATTAAGCTTATGCTGCCTGCTGTGCCACAAGTAACGAAGTCCTTTGTCTCTGACCTTCGAGTCTCATGTCTTCAGCCAGCATCTATAAACGTATGAACCTATGGCAAGCTAACTTGCTAGCTTGTAAGTAGGGTAAAATCTTAGACCCTTCACAGTTCTTGACACCTATACACACATGACTTTAAGTGCTTGAGAGCAGGAGCTGCATCTGAATGGACTTTGCTTCCCCTGTGGGTGACACAAGGTAGTTGCTCTGTAAGTGGTGGCTGCTACTAATGCTGCTTTGGTCTAAAGGGCTTTGGAGGTAAGCACTCAGATACATTTACTGAATCCAACTTTGAAGTAAATTGCCGTGTTTCTTCTCCTGGTTATTAGGTATTGTGTACATTCCTTGGGTTTGTAGAGGGTGAAGCCTCAGATCAGTGTTCTGTACAAAGTGAAATTTTCTGGAGGTTAAAAATGCTACAGATAGTTCACAATGTGAATAAGCCTTACTGAAGGTAATGGAAGTGACTGAGCAGAGACTAGGTTCTTCTGGGTGGTGGTGTGTTATGCTGCAGTTGGAATGGGAAGTCAGTCTCTGCTATTAGCCTCACAACAGCACCAAACAGAGCCAGAGCAGACCAGCTCCCAGTGGAGCAAAGCTGATTTCAGACCAACCTGTCTGAGCTTGAATGAAAGAATTAATCAGTGCTTTTGGTGCCTGAACTGTTAGGAGCAAAGACTCCTCCCTTCTTCTAACCCTTTACATGAGTAATCCCAACCATGACCAGGCAAGATTGCTGGCTGGGTTTGCTCATGGGAGGGATATCTATCAGGCTGCAGCTTTAATCCGGTTTTGGATTGTGGAAGCCTATCTAGCTATGCTTTTCCTGGTACAGGAGAAGGGTGGAACCTTGGTAGCATTTGACCAGAGGTGGCTTTCAGAGCCAGAGGAAATCAGGGGGAAAGTCTTTGCTTATAGTCTATGGCTGATAGCTATTAAAGACCACTTCATCTGATTTAAACCTGTCATTTTATAGATAAGGAAACTGGGGTACAAAGGGGATAAATTGCTAATATGGGCGATTGATTCCGGCGCCTCAAGTGACCCCATTTCTAGCTCGTTAGGCTTTTTTTCTTGTTCCCTTGGCTCCCTCTTCCTGTACACCCAGGAACTTGAGTGCAGCATTCTAATGCCTGGTCAGCATGATTCCTAAATTTTCTAGCAGGCTTGACTCACCAAGACAGCGTGGGTTCTGTGCATGTGCAAAGCAGTTCCATCCCTAAGCGGGCAGAAGGCGGCAGAAGAGGAACCCTAAGCACGGACGGAGGGTGGGATGGGAGGGGCGGGGCACCTTGAGATGTGCTCACGTTTGTTCAGGGACGGGCATGCCGAGCCCAAGAGAGGCTCTCAGGCGGAGTCCCGCTCAGCATGGCGATTACACCGCCGCGGGAAACAGACGAAGCAAGGGAGGGCGCGAGGGACTGGAAGTGGTGACCCTGTGCCCCACTCGTTTCTCCCTGGGCCTGGACAGAGAGACGGTCTTTCAGAAGCGCACGTCGCACTTGCCTAGGGAAAACGGGAGTAAGGCTCAGCTAATTCCTTCCAGACGATCTATATGGCAGACGGCCTCGGCAGCTTAAGGGAACCACAGTCGAGAAACATAGTCGAGAGATGTACGTGACTTGCGGGGTGCGCAGCCGCGCCCAGCCTCGCAGGGCTCCGCGCGGGCACGCGCCTGACGCCCCGCCCGCCCGTGACGAGCGCGCGCGGGGCCTCCGCCCCATCCCCCGCCCGTGCCATCCCCGCCGCGTTGCCTCTGCCGTTCCCCGCCCCCTCGCCTCTGGGGCTGCCCTCATCGTTGCCTGACCCGAGGTCCGGCAGCTTCTGCCTTTCCGGCCCCCGCCGACGGACGGAGGCGGTCCACCCCGGGGGCGGAGGTGCTCTCGGCCCACGAGGCCGTTCCGGAGCGGGTTGGAGTGGGCAGCGGGTGGCGCTGCGGAGACAGGCGCGGCGGACAGCCCCGGGGGCAGCGGCGGGGTCCTGGCGGGGGGAGGATAGGGTTGCGGCGGGCGGAACGGTGTCTCCTTCACTTCGCCCTCCAGCCGCGGCAGCTGCAGCGCGACCCCGAGCGAGCCGAGCGGTCTTAGCTGCGAACGGAGCGGCGGCGGCGGTTCTTCTCAGGAGACCAGCAGGTACAGCCGCGCCCGCCTCACTCCGACCTGGGAGTCTAGGCGTCGGCGGCTAAGCAGGAGGCTTCAGCCGGACTCGGGGTCGGCCCTGGCTCCCTAAGATGGCCGCGCTGCCCCGCGGCCCCTCGCCTCTCTCTGTTTGAGACCCCTTTCTGGCCTCTTGACCCGCCCCTCACCCCCGCTGACCGCACTTATTTTCTCTCCGGCAGATCACTTCTTCCCGCGGTCTCGCCATGGCGACCTACGGACAGAGCTGCCCGCGGCGTAAGTGGAGAAGGGATCTCTGCGGGCTGGGGTGGCGGTGTCCGGGGAGTCGAAGCCTGTGGACCAGAAAACCGCAGCTTCTTTGCCCCCATCTCTCCAAGGACTTGGAAATTCGCCCCTTTCGGTAGCCACTCCTCGGTCCTGACTCCCGCCGTCTCTGCGGAGGAGGGGCTGGGCTGCTGGATTTCGGATAAGAGGCCTAGGCCAGGGGAGTTGGTCTGTGGCTGCATTCACTTTCAGTTTTTGGACGTGTCTTTGACCAACTCAAAAGCAGAAAGTTATTTGTTGGATTCAGCCTTTGGAGGATTGGATCAGTCACTTTTCTAGAGGAAGTAGTAACTCCTCTGAGAGAGCGCAAGGTCATTACATGTGCTCCTAAGGGCGTGGACGTGCTTTGTAGAATGAATGAGCTAGTGTAAGTAGATCAGATTGCTTGCCCTTAAGCCACACAGCATTGGCCGAGGACTTGAGTGTCATATTAGTATGTTTAAAGTGCCGTTGGATAGTTAGTTGATGTAGACACTTGAGTGAAACATAGATGGCCTTTTTTTCCCTAAGTTCCAATATTTAAATTCCCAAAGTGTAAATTAGCTTTCTCTTCCCACTCCAGAATGTTTTGACCTCAGTGAGGATACTAAGGGATATATTGGGGGAGAGGGCCTTGTGTTAGGTTTTGATTTCATCTCGTTTGGGTAAATCAGCCCGTTCCAGTGAATTTTGGCGGATATATCTGTATGTATAGATATATATGTGTGTATATGTTTGCATCTTTGTACTAGTCCAGTCCTAGGCGTTGAGGCTGTAGGCACTGTGTATAGTTAGGAATAGGAAGTCTGTTTTTCTATTTTGTAGAGAATTTCCCGAGTTCGTATAGCCACTTACTGTGGTTATCCCTTTTAGAAATAAGCCTTTGTTGGTGATATGTCCTTCATGGATCATTAGACTACAGTTTTATTGTAGCTCCTGGTGGTGTCAAAAACACATCTTCAACAGGTTAGACTGCTTGAATTTAAAGATAGCAGTGGGTCATAATCTAGTTCTTGGACAGAAAGTGGGAGAACTGGAACATTAACACTGGAATGTTTCTTCCCACCAGCAATGTGTGTTCCTCCCTCATACGCTGACCTTGGCAAAGCTGCCAGAGATATTTTCAACAAAGGATTTGGTAAGAACTTTTTAAAAAAATTTTAGATCAGAAGTGAAAATGTGTTTGGATTTCTTAGGGAAATTAAATTAGTAATTCAAATTGTAAATATTTTATTGCATTAATTCTTCTTTTAGATAAATTTTAGATAAAATTTCTGTTAAAATAGTTTTGTAACAATCCACATCCCCTTCTACCCCAATTTCCTCCAATTTTTTCAAACTCTAGTTTAAGGATTTTATCTTTAGGAAAAAAAACAACTGTGTTTTCATTTCCTTCAGTTATAGCTTATGCCGTGGTTGACTAGAATTAGGATATATTACTGTGTTTTGCTTTTGTGGTGGTGACTCCTAATGGGTTATGTGCTTTGTCATTGAATTTGGGTTGTCTTGAAGATTTTTTTCCACTCCCGCCCTTTAGATTATTTCCCCAATTATTTAGATTTTTTAATCCCAAAGAGAGATATCCCTTTGGGATAAATGTTCTAAATGTTTGTATTATAATAAACTATTGGCTTTTCTGAGATTTAAGTTGAATTGATTCTCTGATCTGGTATTTAGGTTTTAAAATGGTTTGAAAGCATTTTTTTTGGTGCCAAATATACACCAAAACACTATGCAAAGCTGCGTAGAGTGGTTCTGTCCTTTACCTGTCAGTTTGCATAGAATAATTTAAAATTTTTTCATTTTAATACTGTGTATCAACATACATTTTTATCCCCTTCTGAATATGTGAAATCTTTCTTTTTTGAGTCAGCTCAACCAAGAGCTGACTACTTTTTTATGTGTGTAGTCAGCTCTTGGTTTGAATCTTTCATGTGAAAGAATCATTTTGTTATCTTTTGCTCTCTTCTTTAAGGTTTTGGGTTGGTGAAACTGGATGTGAAAACAAAGTCATGCAGTGGCGTGGTGAGTGTTAGATATTTCATAAGTTCTGATGAGCCTTTATGTAGTATTCAACCTATAAAATAGTCATAACTGAAAGATGTCTACCCATTTTATCTTAAAGAAGAGGCAGAAGTTAATTTTGTTTTAAGGGATTTGCATGTAACTTGATTTATTTTGGCTTTGGATATGATTTCTTTTTTTCTTTCTTTCTTTCTTTTTTTTTTGTGAGGAAGATCAGCCCTGAGCTAACATCCATGGTAATCCTCCTCTTTTTGCTGAGGAAGACCGGCTCTGAGCTAACATCTATTGCCAATCCTCCTCCTTTTTTTTCCCCAAAGCCCCAGTAGATAGTTGTATGTCATAGTTGCACATCCTTCTAGTTGCTGTATGTGGGACGCGGCCTCAGCATGGCCGGAGAAGCGGTGCGTCGCTGCGCGCCCGGGATCCGAACCCGGGCCGCCAGTAGCGGAGCGCGCGCACTTAACTGCTAAGCCACGGGGCTGGCCCTGGATATGATTTCTGATTTTCTTGTGGTTTACTATGTATGCACAAGGAATTCAGGAAAGACACTGGCCATGTGGGACTCTGTTTACTCAGTAAAATTACAAGCTTGATGGCAGGAGCCTGTTGGATTTTTTGGTAACCCTTTTAATGCCTATTAAAACCATTAAGAGTTCTGGGCATAAAAATATTCAATAACTCTTAATTTGAGTGTACCAATCGTTTATATAATGGTCAGATTCTAGCAGCCGTCCTTGGGGAAGATTTCCCCATGTATTTTGTGAATTTAGAGAGTCCTCATTTGAGTATTTTTAAAGAGGTAATATTTTGGTATTTGCATGTCTTGATTCTGCCTAACAAATGCCCTCAAAGAGAGTAAAGTAATTTTGTGCAGTTTTTTTTCTTTGTCTAAGTTTTTTTTGAGGATGGGTATAGTGTGCATATTGAATATTTGTTATTTTGATAAATTCTTGCTGTAGTTGTTAATTCCTTTAGTGTACATAGCTGGTATTTATTAAAATTAATCATCTTGTAGTTTCTTAATGCCTAGACTTGGATTTCTGTGGTTTTATATTGGTCACATCTGTCATTTGGTTTATTTGATCTGAAAGGAAGCCTGAATATTCAGTGTGATTGAGTGACATTTGCTAAAGGTAACAGGCTACAGAGCAGTGACTTAGTGATTGTTTTTTGTGTTCCCACTCTTGACCTGTTGAGATGCCTTATAAACACTTGTTGTGTAATCTATTGAAACACAAAAGGCCTTCCAAAAGAAAAAAACACTCAATCCTTGTGTTTAAAAACCTTACTTGCTGGTTGGAGAGACAAAATAAACTTTAAACTGGGGAACAATCAAAGAAGTATATCTAGTACTAGGTTGTTTGATAAATCAAAATCTTTCTTGGAAAAGAAAGGCTTATTGTGGACAGGGTTAAGGAAAGCTTTATGGAATTAGGTTTAAGATCATGAAGCATGTATAGGAGCTGGATTAGATAAAGCATGTTTTTGTTTCCATTTAATGTAAGTGCAGTCAAGTGTCACGTAGCGACAAGGATACGTTCTGAGAAATGTATCGTTAGCTGGTTTTATTGTTGTGAGAACATCATCGAGTGTACTTACACAAACCTAGATGGTATAGCCTACTACACGCCTAGGCTATATGGTACTAATCTTGTGGGACCACCATCGTATATGTGGTCTGTCATATATGTGTTGACTGAAACGTTGTTATGTGGCACATGACTAATTGAACCAGCATGATGCTTTGAAGTACCATAATCTTGTAATATGTACCTGGCCCCAAATAAGTCCCATTAATGGCTGGTTCTGTTTACTCACCTGAACTGTATGTCCAGGCCACCCCAGAATGTAGAACCGTAAATGTCTGGTGATGGAGTGAACAGTGTAAGCTCCACCAGTGGTGTCATCTAGCCCAATTCTGGTCTCAGTGTGATCTTTTTGGTTTTGCGTCTTGAGGATTCCTTGACATCTATATACGCTGGCTCTCAATCTTTGGGCTGATGGCAGTGGGTGGGTCCTCAGGTGTCATTAATCAGTGTCACTCAGGATTAAAAATAGCTACTCATACATATTCCCCATTCATATTTTATGTATATTGTTTTAATAATGCTTTCCTTTTGTGTAGAGCACATGAAAATGTGCAAAGCTTTCACATTGTCATTCCGATTTAATCCTCCACAACAGGTAGGTTTTGTTATTACAGTTGAGGAAACTGAGACCCAGAAAAGTTAACTGTCTTCCTTAGTGTTAATCATTTAGTAAATGACAGCCAGAACTGGATGCCAGGACTCCTAATTTTATATCCAGTGTTACTTCCTTACATAATCCAGTACTTTTTAATATGGACATTGAGTGCCAAGCTTTGACTTGAAATTCCTGTTAATGAAAGCGTCTAATTTCAGGAGATTGTATATAAAACCTAAGGATTTGAGTCTGTTTCACTGTAGAGCAATAGTTACACAAATGTTCTGTTTTCTAAGTGAAGGATGATTGGCCTTTTCTCCTATTGATATAGTTCTTGATATTGCCTCACTCTGCAGATGTCACAATTTCAGGTTGAAATTCTCTTTTTCATTAGTTCAGATCAGCGATCTTCTATAGACTTGGTTTTCTGGTGGCCAAACTGTATAGCCGTCATTAGCAGACAGATTGTTAATCAGAACTCTCCGAGTGTTGTAATATTTATTTTGGAAGATTTCAATTGCCTGCTGTATACTGAGCTCTGAAAGATTAGATTTCTGGCGTATCTGTAGCAGATTTTAAATTTCATATAAGCCCTCCTCCATATTATGCCTTCCTTTTCAGTTGGTGTGCAACTGGGAATTGACAAGTTATATTTGCTACAAATGTAAGATTATATAATGCATTTCAAATTGATCCCTGTATTAGATTATTTTTTCTACTGATAATATCTGTTGTACATAATATAGTTTATATTATACATGGTATAAACCAGTTGTAGAGTAAATCTCCTATAATGCCCTTCCCCTACTTTTTTTCTTTTTTAATGAGAATGTGAACAATGATTGGAAAGGCATGAAACCTGTGAAGGCTCTTTTATCTCAGAAAGACAGAGTATTGGGATTACCGAAGAATTTTTTAAAGAAATCTTTTGTTTATGGCGTGGATTCCTACAGTAGGTGCTTTCCTTTTAAGGATTTTCAGGAAACATTTTATCATAAAAATCAGTTATTATAAACTCTGATTTTAATCATGAGATCTGTGATTAACCATACTGACCTATTTAGTGTTTTATTCAATATTAGGTAGATTGGATGCAGTGCTAAAACATCCATTCCTTCTTTTTTCCCCACTGATTTTTGAATCCCAAATGAAATTACCTTAGCAGAAGTTTGCTTAAAAGATGTACAATTTGCTGTTCACTTGAGAACTAGATACAGGTTAACTTGTGATCAATTGGTTGAAATGTCAACTGTAAGTAAGGTGGCAGTCAGTCATTTGCAGGCAGATTTGTTACTCTATTTGTATATACTCAGAGAGTAGCAGAGAGGAAGAGTATTTGGTAAGCTAGGAAAAAAAGGATTAGTGAAATTACAAAGTGTTTCGGTGGGTTTGTTTGTGTTAGGCAGTAGATGCTGCTAGGTTTACGAGAAAGTTCATGAAGTTTTTATTGTCTTATTAGGAATTCTCAACATCTGGTTCATCTAATACAGACACTGGTAAAGTTACTGGGACCTTGGAGACCAAATATAAGTGGTGTGAGTATGGTCTGACTTTCACAGAAAAATGGAACACTGATAACACTCTGGGAACAGAAATCGCAATTGAAGACCAGGTAGCATTTTGAAATTGTGATTTAGTATTAATTATTTTGTTTTCGTATTTCAAAAGGAAATAAAGCTGAAAACAAATTCCTTTTTCTTTCAAAATAGATTTGTCAAGGTTTGAAACTGACATTTGATACCACCTTTTCACCAAACACAGGGTAAGCATGGACATTTTTATCTGCTTTAAATTTAAAAGGATTCCTCTTCTGTATATTTAGGAAAGATGCACATTTACTGTTTGATAGCTTAGTCAGCTGCCTTGTGGTGGCAAATTCCTGTTTCTGCCTTTGGATCATGAGCCCTATGATTGTCATTGTTGGCTTGCCTTTAATTAAATATTTGCCTCTTTTCATTGTGGCACTAACTTGGGTAATTAACTTGGGTTCTAGTAGGCTTTTATGATTGATTTCCAGTTCTACAAAGCAGTCTTCCTATGGTGGTGGCAGTCGAGTTATCCCATGTGCCCTTATCTTTTAGTTCATTGAGCTATATTTTTTTTTACCTTTTATGATTATCCTGCTACTTCTTTTATGCCCGAGTTACATTGCAGTTCATTTAAATCTGTTCTGTGCCCTCTGCAGAAGTTATGTATGTAAATCTTTCCCACAGTCATCAGTTTTAAGTCAGTTTGTTCTTTTTCCAGAAAGAAAAGTGGTAAAATCAAGTCGTCTTACAAGAGGGAGTGTATAAACCTTGGTTGTGATGTTGACTTTGATTTTGCTGGACCTGCAATCCATGGTTCAGCTGTCTTTGGTTATGAGGGCTGGCTTGCTGGGTACCAGATGACCTTTGACAGTGCCAAATCAAAGCTGACGAGGAATAACTTTGCAGTGGGCTACAGGACTGGGGACTTCCAGCTACACACTAATGTGTGAGTATTTCTTTTGTGGGGTAGTATGGTGTAGGACCTCAGGATGATATTGATGTCTCCTGTCATCTCACTAATCTAGGTATTTCCTAAAGGATTTCTCTTAATCTAAAAAGATCATCCTTGGGCATTTCTACGGTGCCCCTCAAAAGTGTATAGTAAAAAATGTCTGACTTGGTGCTGAGAGAGTAAATGTTTATTTCATATGGAGCTTGATGTGCTTTGGATTTTTAGAAGAGGCTAAGACATTGCCAGACTTTGCCAGTGCATTCATTTGACTTAATTGTCTGTAGTGTGTGAGGTACTGATGTGATGGGATTGCCTAAAATGTGTGGTGTTTTTACCTAACCCAAATTAGATAAATATGTGGAAGGGACCTAAAAAGAATTTTTTTTCCCTTATAAAAGTAATGCATTGGTAGGTAACAGAAGTTCAAAGAAGAAAACCAAAATTTCCCATAATCCGACCACCTAGATATATAATCTTTGTTAATGTTTTGGTGTTTCACCTTTTTATGTATGTATATGTATATAAAATACATACCGAAAGGCAGTTTTATAACCCTTTCCCCTCCACCTTAGTACATTTTGATAATTTTCCTATAGTGTTATGTATTCTACAACATGATTGGTAGTGGCTATGTGGTAATTCCACTGGATGGATGTACCATGATTTATTTGACCAATCCTTGCTTTTGGACATAGGTTGAGAAAGACCTCTTAGAACTTGTGAGTTTTCAGTAGAAGACTCGAGATCCGTGTGAGCCATGGCTTTTATTTAAATGTAATGCTACAATATCAGCCTAGTGCCTTAGACATATTACATTGTCTATTCTAGATTTACTAATTTAAAATATCTTATAGCAATGATGGGACAGAATTTGGAGGATCAATTTATCAGAAAGTATGTGAAGATCTTGACACTTCAGTAAACCTTGCTTGGACATCAGGTACCAACTGTACTCGCTTTGGCATTGCAGCTAAATATCAGTTGGATCCTACTGCTTCCATTTCTGTGAGTACCACTGTGGACTTAGAATGGGGTTTTTAGTAGTGGGAATTAATCTTTGGGTATATTAAAAACTTGAACTGTGGTTCACACAATTCCCAGTTTGCACACAGATTGGAATTGGAACTTGGAATGCTGCTTTTTCTATGGAGACGGTGTTAGAAGTTTGATATTCAGGCCACAGGAGTTTTTCTTTTGTGTGTGAGGAAGATCAGCCCTGAGCTAACATCCATGCCAATCCTCCTCTTTTTGCTGAGGAAGACTGGCCCTGGCCTAACATCCGTGCCCATCTTCCTCCACTTTATATGGGACGCCGCCACAGCATGGCCTGATAAGTGGTGCATCGGTGCAGGCCCGGATTCTGAACCCGGGCCGCCAGCAGCGGAGCGCGAGTACTTAACTGCTACGCCACGGGCCGGCCCCGGGAGTTTTTTTTACCTCAAAGGCTGATGAATTAGTATAGATAATAAGCCTGAGCTCCAATCCTGTCTAAGCCCAGGGAAGCCAATGTTTTGGGCCCTGGCAGTTTATATCTCTGTCAGGGAGTAATAGTACACTAATTGTTACTTTGTCTTTTGTCTTTTTATGGTTTATAAAATATCTTCACATTTGATCTGAACGGTCACTGGTACACATGCCCTTTTGCAGATGAAGAAACCAAAGCTTGGAGAGAGAAAAGATTTAATACCACTACTAGGGAAGGAGGGGAATAGCCAGGACTGGACTGCTTGTTTTGATTTCCCTCCTGCCTGGAGTGATCAGCCAGTTCATTCTGCTTTGCATGGGACTATTCCAGCTTTAGCACTGAAAGTCCTGCATCCTGAGGACTCCCTTCCCCCATCCCGAGTTAGCTGGGTCGGATGGCCACCCTAGTCCTGTCTTTAGGGTCTTCCTGCTATTTCCTCCTTCAGTCATAGTGGGTTGGGGTAGGAGGGAGTGCAGTGTCTGAGGGTGTAGAGGGGCGGGCTCCAATTTCAGGCAGATCAGCAGCTGTTCCTGTGTGTCAGTTGCTTACAGGTCAGGGACTGCCTGTACTGTATGTAGTGGGAATGAAAGAAAGTTAAACCTTCCATGAGAGTTATTTCTGTTACATAAAGTGATCTTCATTCCTAAGGACAATATGTTTTGATAATTTAGACAGTTAGGTTTTAGCCCCATTCTTGTTTTATCTTAGCACAGTTGTAATCAGAGATAATGAGAAGCCTTGCCCATTGGCAAGGCAGTGATTCATTTATTTTTCCCTTCTCTGTTTCTAACTGCACTCTGGCAGTAAGAAAACCTCAGGATTCACACAGCATACTATTCTCTGATAGCTACATTGCTGTTCTCTGCAAATGTATGTCTATGAGACCATCACAGATTTAATGCCAGCAGAAGGTGAAGTTCTCTCCTAGTCTAAAATGGGAAGGGAGCTTGGGACCTGTGTGTCATTGAGTGGCTCCTGGGGATTAGTTTGGAAATGTATCTAGCATTTCCCACCTAAGTAGTGCTGCTGTTGCCAGAATCGAGCATCACACTGAAGCATTGCTTCATGCCCCATCGTAGTTTTGTGGTTGACTCCTATTCTAAAATAGTAGGAACTTGTATCCAGTTGTCTGAAGCTCTTAATTTGGGGCATTTCTTCCTTAGACAAATAACTCACATGGTCATTGGTAGCTCATGAAGACTTGTCTGTAGTGCCAAGTGAATACAAGTGCCGTTTATGTGACTTGTGCCTGTACAGTTACATCGTTGCTGTCTCTGGATTGGGCTATTTTGATGTTACACATTACAAAAGAGGGTGGTAGACATCAAATCATTTCCAAATGTGGTTTAATCCCAGAGTCTGTCTGTTACCTCTGTACCATAGCACTCACAATGTAGAAGAGCAAAGTAGCCTGGCTAGGCAACCTAGTACTTGGAGATTGGGGTGAGGTGCCTCCATTTTATAGCTTAATGGTATGGCTTAATGATGTTAGTAGTGGGAGAGAATGGAGCTAGAAGGAGCCTCTCCTTACCATGTCTTGCTCTCCAGGGTTCCTTCCAGCCGTTGGAGGTCTGTGACTCAGTCCTAAAATAATAGAGTTGTGTAAGGAGGGCAGGGGCCTGGATTGGTAAATGATGCACCATTGGAACCTCTTCTTTTTTTTTTAAGATTTTTATTTACTTCTTTATTTTCCCCCCAAAGCCCAGTAGATAGTTGTATGTTGTAGCTGCACATCCTTCTAGTTGCTGTATGTGGGACGCGGCCTCAGCATGGCTGGAGAAGCGGTGCCTCTGTGCGCGCCCAGGATCCGAACCCGGGCCGCCAGCAGCGGAGCGCACGCTCTTAACCGCTAAGCCACCGGGCCGGCCCGGAACCTCTTCTTAAGCACAATCTAGTTACATACAGCCAAGACCCAGGGGCATTAATGAGCAGTGTGAGAATGTGAAGTAAAAGATTTTTAGTTGATCTGATTCTTCAAAGGAAGTGCTTGTCATTTGGAGATTTTGAACATTCATGGTTTTGATTCTTTTGGAAGACCTGTGAAAATAATAACTTGTACGTCAGAGTTACGAATTGAAACTTCACATAGGCTGGTGTGTGCATCACAAAGCTAGCTAGTGAGCCTGGTGGACTTCTTTTACCCACATTTTGGCATGGTTTTGTTGTGCTAGATTAGACTCAACGACAATTTTTATGACAGTGTGTAAGCTCTTGTGCTACATGGACAATTTGGGGTCTGTAAACCATCCTACAGTAGATATCAAGACTATTGTGTTTTACTGACAATTTGACTTGGAGTTTAATGGATAAGAATTAAGTGGTACCTCGTTTTTGTTTGGCTTAATAGTGATATTAAATTTTATTATCTTACATGTTAATGTAAAAGCTGAACACTTCATAATTGCACGATAGGGAAACATATAGGGCGTTGTCTCTCCATTCAAAAATTTTTCTTACAGTTGTTTTTGCATTTTATTTTAGGCAAAAGTCAACAACTCTAGTTTAATTGGAGTGGGCTATACTCAGACTCTGAGGCCTGGTAAGTATTCTTGATAAGGTAGGATTGTTCTGATAGTGTTTTAAAAACTAGTTTTCATTTCTCAGCTGCTTCTCTATTTTGCAAACCTTTTCAAGCATATGGAAGAATTGGTGGAAGAGTACAATGAACACATGTTTAGTTTTTCCACAATTTTTGTCCTCCCCTCCGCTTCTTTTTTTGCTGGGCTGTTTGGAAGCTGCAGCTGTCATGACACTTCCCTAGATGCTTTAGCATGCATCCCCTCAGAATAAGAACGTTCTCCTGTTCTGCATAACGGCAGTACCATTATCACACCTTAAGAAAGTTAATAGTGATTCCATATTATTTAATATCCATTCTCTATTACTCTCCTCACTTGTACCTGAAATGTCTTGTAATTTTTATTTCTAAAATCAAAGTTCACTTATTGTTTAGGTTGTTCGGTCTTTATAGTCTCATTTACTTTACATGGTATTTTGAGCCTTGCCATGCTTTCTGGAGCAGTACTTCTCAAACCTCGGTGTGTGTGTGCATCACCTGGGGAATCTTGTTAAAATGCAGATTCTGATCCAATAGGTCTGGGATGAGAGGTTCTGTCTTTCTAACAAACTTTTCGGTGATACCATTGTCGCTGGTTCTTGAACTACCGTTTGAATAGCAAGGTTCTAAAGCACTTGGAACTATTTTTTCCTCCAAATAGGGATTTTCCCCCAGACTTGTAAGTTTGATTATTTTGAAATCTAAAGAATGGTACCATGAACACCCATGTACCCTTCCCCACATTCACCAGCTACTAACATTTACCACATTGGATTTATTTCTCCATGTTTATATACATAATCTATAGTTGACATACAATATTATATCAGTTTCAGGTGTATAACATAGTGATTTGATGTTTATATACTCTATGAAATGATCACCACAACAAATCTAGTAACCATCTGTCACCATACAAAGTTATTACAATATTGACTAAATTCCCTATGCTGTATATCCCCATGACTTATTTATTTTATAATTGGAAATTTGTACCTCTAATCCCCTTCACCTATTTTGTGCATCCCCCACCCCCATCCCCTTTCACAACCACCAGTTTGTGCTTTGTATCTATGAGTTTGTTTCTGTTTTGTTTTGTTTGTTTTTTAGATTCCACATATAAGTGAAATTATATGATATTTGTCTTTCTCTGTCTGACTTATTTAACTTGGCATAGTACTCTCTAGGTCCATCCATGTTGTCGCAAATGGCAAGATTTCAGTCTTTGTTATGGCTGAATAATATTCCATTCTGTATATATACATTTCCTTTATCCATTCAAAATCTATTGATGGACACTTAGGTTGCTTTCATGTCTTGGCTATTGTAAATAATACTGCAGTGAACATAGGGGTGCATATTCTTTTTCAAACTAGTGATTTTGTTTTCTTGAGATAAATACCTGGAAGTGGAATTGCTGGATTGTATGTTAGTTCTATTTTTAATTTTTGGGGAACCTCCATAGTGGCTGCACCATTTACATTCTCACCAACAGTGCTCGAGGGTTCCCTTTTCTCCACGTCTCCTTGCCAACAAATGTCTTTTTGATAATGGTCCTTCTGACAGGTGTGAGATGATATCTCACTGTGGTTTTGATTTGTATTTCCCTGATAATTAGCGATGTTGAGTATGTTTTCATGTGTCTGTTGGACATCTGTATGTCTTCTTTGGAAATATGTCTGTTCAGGTCCTCTGCCCATTTTTTAATCGGATTGTTTGTTTTTTTGATACTGAATTGTATGAGTTCTTTATATGTTTTGGATATTAACCCCTCATTGGACATATCATTAGCAGATATCTTCTCCTATTCATTAGGTTGCCTTTTTGTTTTGTTGATGGTTTTCTTCACTCTGTAAAAGCTTTTTAGCTTGATATAGTTGCATTTGCTTATTTTTGCTTTTGTTGCCTTTGCCCTGAGGAAGTAGATCCAAAAAAATATCACTAAAACCAGTGTCAAAGAGCTTACTGCTTATGTTTTCTTCTAGGAATTTTATGGCTTCAGGTCTTACATTTGTCTTTAATCCATTTGAGTTTATTTTTTTGTATGTGTTGTAAGAAAGTGGTCCAGTTTTCCCAACACTATTTATTGAAGAGACTGTCTTTTCCCCACTGTATGTTCTTACCTCCTTTGTTGTAGATTAATTGACCATATAAGGGTGGGTTTATTTCTGGGCTCTCTATTCTGTTCCATTGATCTTTGTGTCTGTTTTTGTGCCAGTACCATACTGTTTTGATTACTGTAGCTTTCTAGTATAGTTTGAAGTGAGGTAGCCTGATACCTCCAGCTTTGTTGTTCTTGCTGAATCCTTTTTTCTTTTTTTCCACATATCCTTATGAATTATTTAAATGTATGTTTTGCAGACATGTAGACACATCAGCCCTAGTATGCATATCCTAAGAGTAAGACATTTTTCTTCGTAACTACAATATCATTGTCACAGCTAAGAAAATTAACATTAGTAATACCTAATATATAGTCTATATTCATATTTCCCCATTTCTCCCCAAAACGTCTCTTTTCCAGGATCTAATTATGATTGTCTCTTAGTCTTGATAGTATATTGAACATTATTATATTTTCTAGGGCACTTTGAACTTTATTATTAATATTTTTATGCTCTGTGACTTGATGCCTTACCCAGGCTGAATTCTTTCTGGTATCTCAGATACTCTCAAGCGCCCTCTGGTGGCTGGCACTAGTAAGTCTTCTGACTGCTGAGGAAAAGTGACATGCAGGCCCTGGGGTGATTATTAAAGAAGACTGCAGACTCTCATGAGGTGTTTCAGGCACATAATGGTTGTCTGCTTTTATTTATAGGTGTGAAGCTTACACTGTCTGCTCTGGTAGATGGGAAAAGCATTAATGCTGGAGGCCACAAACTTGGGCTCGCCCTGGAGTTGGAGGCTTAATCCAGCTGAAAGAAACCTCTGGGAATGGTTATCAGAAGATTTGGCCTTAATATATTTCCAGTGTGACCAGCAGGCTTTTTTCCCCCCAAGAAGGTGATCAAAACACAGGATGATCTGAATAAGACCTGTATTTTAAATATTTAGACGGTTACTTGTTAGCTGGTTTCTAGTTGAATTGGTTATCTATCTAGTTACCAATGCTGCAGTCGTGCAGTCACCTATACATTATTTAAATGTATTTAACTGTTAAATGCGCTACCCACCAATAATGAAATAGACCTTTAAGAAAACTGTGCAATCGTGTGCATGTTTGTTTTTATGTTCCTTTTAACATTGAATATTGCCCTTGAATGAGATGGATCAGTGGATGTTTTAAGAAGAGGTTAAAAAATTTTTGTTAAATTCAGCCATTAGAATTAACTTTTGGTATCCCAAAATATTACAAATTATGAATAAAACAAGTATACATAATTAATGACTCTAAGTATTTGCAGAGTTAAAAATTTGCCAGCTGGGGTCAAATCTCCCTGATATCTAGCTATGCTTTATTTTTCCAGTGAGCGTTTTGCTATTTACCTAAATATGTGCCACAGAGTCCTCTGTGTCCCTAGAGTAACTCCATGAGCTTTTTAGACTACAATAAAATAAGAGGATATATGCCTTTACATCTTCAGTTTGTAAGTTTGTACAAAATTACATTGATAATTGTTAACCCCAGGAAGTGTTAGAGAGTAAGTGATGAAGAAAGGAAAGTGAGGGGATGGTGCCGAAAGGTTATATACACTCATTATACCCCTACAAGCTATTGCTACGGAAAATGAACTGGAGTCTAGTTGGGTGTGATGGGACTCAGGTGTGGGGTAATGGAGTAAGGTGTAGACAGTGAGAGAGGACTATGTGGGCGCAGTGAGAGGTCATGTACTCATTTCCTTCCAGGCAGACAGTGACTGAAAAGCTTGGGCCTAAGATTGAAACCATAGGCAATGCCTTCAGGCTATGTGGCCATTGGCTTTCATATGGATTTGGGGTGAATGACAGAAATTAATAGGTGTCTGCCTAGAAAGAGCAGGTTTTTTGATGGAGGATATGATCAAAGATTAGAGAAGGGGGAGATTTGTTCAGCAAATGAACAATACTAGACCTGAAGTAGAGTTTCGAGCCTGAGAGAGAACAGAGAAGAAAAATGTAGTACTTTGAGACTCATTACCCAAAAAGTGATACGTGCTGAAAATTTCCAGGTCAAGAATCTTGATGAGAGAAGCCCAAGCAAGCTCTCCACGCACGTGGACTTGGGGGGCACATAGGCCCCTTCTGGTCTCACGATGTTTGTCCTAAGGGACTGGCCGGAAAGGCCCATGTGCATCAGACACACATGACTTAATGGCAGAAAGTTGGAATTTTGAACCAATTTGTTTAAGGCAGGACCTGTTGCTATGTAAGAAAAACAGGAAAAGATCAAGGTAGGTGTGAGAGCACCTCTTGTACTTGGCATATGGAAGAGAAGTGTGAAGCAGACCAGCAGACACTCTCTCAAACTGCTGGTGGTGCTCAGCAGGGAAGAAACCTGGTCACAGGCCCTGGGGACACCTGAAGCCCCCTGGATGGCCAGCCACCCCTTAGCTAACTGGTGGCCCTCCCTCATGCTGTGGCTGGAGTTCACTTGGTCCAATACTCTGGACTGGGGTGTGGCCTTATGTTGTGAGGTGTGGCACAAATGAGTTACCAGTTTGTCAAGGATCTGCTTAGTAAATTGGACCACTTCACCCATGTGCATCCTAAAATGCTTTTATGAATGGGGGAGAAAAGGGTAGGTTTACAGCCATGGTCCTGAGAATTGTAAGGTATATCCCAGGAGCTGTAGGATTATGCAAGTCGCCAGCTGTGGGCTCCTATGGCTCCTGCGCCCTTGCTTCTAGCAGTCTCCTGGTGCACTTCCACCACCCAGGCCCAACCAGGTGGTGGCAAGACCTAGTTGTATTCTAGGCTGATACCATTTCTGCTGACGCCTGAGGCAGTGTTAGTGGAAAGAACACATAATATCTGAGCCTGATCTTCATCTGTGGTGTGGAGATAAGATCTTCCTACAGGATTGGGGAGGTTTAAATGAGAGAAGTGAAGCATCTGGCTCCCTCTCCACCTCCACTCATAGATGTTGGTGCTGGAAAGCCTAACTTGATCTTCCTCTGGGGAACTTGTTAAAATTGCCATATTGATGGTCCCCTACCTGTAGGCCTGTCTGTTTCACACCTCTCTGGCCAGTGATCCCACCCAGTCCCTCACCTTCCTCCAGGACTTAAGGGGGAGGGCAGGATATATATATATACTCCAGTCAACTTTGAGGTCCTCAGGTCTAAGTCAAGTAAGTGGTCTGGTTCTGAGGAGTGATGTCCACTGACCAGGGCCTCCATCTCAGAGGTGAGGCCTAGCCTACAGTTCTGTGAAAACATAGGCAAATGGCCAGCAGAACTGGCATAACCTGTAAAAGTACTCAGTGACAACCCTGGCCCCTGCTAGGCCTCTTGTCGGATTCCACATATCGTCTCCCCACTGGTCCCAGTTACACTGAACAGGAACTTCATTCACTTGCCCCTCATAGGAAGATAGGTAGTAGGGAGACCAAGGGGTCCTCTACCCAGCATCCAGCCCTCAGATCCTGTGGAGTGGAGGCAAACCTGAGGAGCTGAGGTCTCTGACCAATTGCATGTGGCCAGGTCAATTAAAACTTGGTATATACTGCCTCCAGTCAGCTGGAGACTACTGTCATCAGGCACCCTGGTGCTGGGCAGCCCTCAGGACTGTGCCAGGGACAGAATGTACGTCTGTGACCTCACGGCTCCCTTTTGCTGCAGAAGTCTGCCCATGCTGGGCCTACGCTACTTGAGTGCCACGTAGGAAGGCTCAGAAGTACGAGAATCAGATGCTCATGCCCCAGGCCTCACTTTATTGATAGGTTAAAACTGAGGGTCCATGGCTGGAGTTCCCAAGTCCCATCCCTCGAGGCCACTCGCCTAGGGTCCAGCCCTAGATCTTGAAGGCTAATGTGAGGCCGTCGCCCAGGGGCAGGAGGCTGATGTGGACCCTGGCGTCCCGCAGGATGCGCTCATTCAGGTTTCGCACGCACTCGGCCGCAGTGTCCCGTGGTTGAGGCTGCAACACCTCTCCGCGGCACAGGACCTGCGGAGGGGCGGGGCGTCACGGGGGCGGGGTCTCGGGGAGGGGCCTGAGCAGGAGGCGGGGCGCGAGCTGGAGGCCGAGGACTCGAGTACTAAGAGGGAGGGGCTTACGTGAGTGTACTAGGTGGGGTTTTGTGGCGTGGGGGCGGGGCATAGGGAGGACCCAAGGGAAAAGGCAGGGACCGGGCCGAGAGGGTCCTTCCTCTCGTATGTCCCTTACACTGAGAACGGCGAGGACGCCTCCAGGGCGCAGCAGCTGCAGGCACCGCTCGTAGTAGGCGGCGCAGTTCTCCTTGTCCGCGTCCACCACGGCCACGTCGAAGGTGCCGGCCTCGCCCGCGGCCAGGAGCTCATCTTGTGGGGGAGGGAGGGGTAGTGCGCTGAGTCCGCAGGCCCCAGAGGCCGGAGGCCCTGGCCCAGGCGCTGTGACCACTCGGGGACTCCGGCCTCGGCCTTGAGGGCGCCGGCCCTGCCACCCTGCATGTGGCCGCATACCGTGAGGTTGGGCGGCGGGGGGCTGTCATTGCCCCAAGCCTGCCCGGCGGACCTGGTCACTAGCTCGCACCCAGTGTCTGCATTTGGGAAATGGCGCCAAGGCCCTTTCAGCTCCGTGCTCACCCAGAGTCTCCAGGGCGGGCTTCAACCGAAGGTCGATCTTGTGCTCCTCCTCAGCCTGCAAGGAGCGAGGTCAGAGCCAACATGTCGCTTCTCCTGGAGCTGGGAGTGTCCGGGCTCCGGGGGCCTGACGAGGGCCTCGGGTGTGTGGGTCACTCACCTGCCTCCACAGGGGCCGCCCCAGCTCCGGGGGCCCCGCGTTCACCTCGCAGGTCACCACGCGCCCGGCCGGGGGCAGCGCCAGGGCCAACGCGAGGGCTGAGTAGCCTGTGAAAGTGCCTGGGGACAGGGACAAGGACAGACTCAGGCCAGAGTGGGGGGACGGCCCGGTGATCTCGGCCCCCAGTGATCCCGGCCCCGCATCCTACCGAGGTCCAGCGCCTTCTTGGCCTTGATGAGCCGCGCCAGGTTGGCCAGAAGCTGGGCCTGCTCACAGGTCATCATGGAATCCCCCTGCTGTTGCTCCAGGGTCAGCTGTGTTGGGGGGGAGAGGGTCGCACCAGCCCTGCCAGTCACCCAGCCCCGCCCCAGGTTCAGATCCCCCTCCAGGGCGGGGCGGTGGGCGTGGCCTAGGTGGGGCGGGCCCTCAGGGAACTCCCGCTGAGCCCGGCCTGGGGAGCCTGGAAGCCGGAAGGGCCACGGCCCAGCCCAAGGTCACACAACCACGTGGGACCCGCCGGCCCGAGGTGGGCGCCTGTTCCCGTGCCCGGCCCTGCTGACCAGCCGCAGGCTCCGCAGCGCCGGGTGCTCCCGCATGGAGCGGCTCAGCAGATACTGCCACAGGGGGCTGTCCTCAGGGGGCAGCAGGCGCTTCTCTCGCCGGGATCGCCATGGAGGGCACCGTCTCCCTGCCGGAGAGGGGGTGCTGGGTCAGAGCCGGGGTCTCCGGGCGCCAGGGGTGAGCCTCAGCCGCGGCCAGCATCGCGGATTCGCGGGCTCTGCTCCGGCTCCCGCCCCGCCCGCGGGGGCCCTGCGGAGGGTGCCGCAGGCCCGGACCTACTCACCCAGGAAGAGGCCGGCGGCGAAGGCGGCGCCCAGAGCGGCCGAGCCCAGGGCCAGCGCGGCGGGCACAGAGAGCCGGGGTACGGGCTGGGTCATGGCGCGGGCAGGAGGCGGCGGCGGCTGGGGTTACCGGGACGGCACTCGGACCGACGGGCACTCCAGGCTCCGCCTTGCCTGGGCAATGCCCGCGGAGCCACGGCCTCGAGCGCCATCTTGCGGCCTTGCACCGCCTTACTGCAAGCCCCGCTCGAGCGAGGCGGACACCACCTGGTGGTCGTGCTCGGAACTGCGCCCGGCGGGGAGCAAGCCCTGCATCTAGGGTCTGGGTTCTCCCTCCCGGTGCCTGCGGTCTAGGGGCCTGGGTCAGGCAGGAAACATTTGATGCCCTTCCTGGCTACGCTTCTTTCTTATCGCTACCATTTCTGCTGAGATCCCCTGGGGCTTATGTGGGTGGGCAGTTGGTGTAACAGAAGAGTAACAAGTGCAAAGTGATAGAAATTAAAGGAACCCTGAGAGGGACTGAGAGAATCAGGGGAGGCCTTCTGGGGAGGTGACCAAGGGTATCAGGTGGAAGGAGTGAAGGACGTGGTTTGGGGGGACACAGCCAGAGCTGGGGCTCGGGAGCCCTGGGATAGGTCTGGTTGATGGGGCACTGAGACAATGGCCTTAGTTAGAGTCCTGCCCTTGGGTGCCAAATAGACAAGGGTGTGAGATCTTGGGCCCATCAGTCTCTCTGAGCCTCAGTTTCCACAGTCTTACCATAAATGGCACCAGATCCCACAGCCTGGCACACAGTAAGTGCTCAGTAAATGGCAGCTGCTGTTATGATCGTAGTCAGAGTGAAGACATCTTGGAGAGGGTAGAGATCGGAGGGCAGGTGGGGTCTCCCTGCAGGGCTGTTCCGCAGGGACACTATCCAGGGAGCGTTGAACACCTACTGTGTGCTAGACTGGGGGAGGCGAAAGCAGCCATCCTGGTTTGTATTCTTGGTGAAGACCACAGGACACACAGAACTGGTGAGCTACCGCAGCTTCTCAATTTCCTCTTCTGTAAAATGGGGTTCTTAATAGTCCCGACTTCCTGGGGGATGAAATGAGAAAATCCAGGTGAAGGACTTCTACAGAGCCCAGCACTTAGTGGGCTGTAACTGTTCCATTTAAAAGGAGTCAAAGTCCAAAGAGCAGAAGGTCATCCGGTGGCTGCTGCTCCAGCGTCCCCTGGGGTGGCCATTTAGTAGCTACACTGGCCAGACTAGAGCTCCACAGGGGGCTTCCCAGGCGGGGCTCAGCAAGCAGGCCCAGAGGCAGACTCCTCGCCGGCGTGGGCGTGGGCGGGGTTGGTGAGAGCGCGGCCTGGCTGAGGCCGAAGACCAGGGTGAGCTGGAGAGAAATTGGGGCCGTCGGACTGACCCGAGCTGCCCGGGGACATGATGCAGGAGGAGGCCCAGGTCCAGGGCCAGGCTCCGGGAGCCGAGGGCACGGCCTGGAGTCAGAGACCGGGGTGGGACTGACCCTTTGACCAATGAGCCGGCAGCCCCCAGGCCCAGGGTGCGGGGCAGGAGCTACTGTCCCCCGGGGCCTGGGTGGGTCAACCCAGCTCCTCCCAGTTCCCTGTTGCCAGGCACCGCCCTGCTCCTAGGAGACGCTCCTTCCGCCTTTTGATCCTTTGCATCCTGCTTGGCCTTGTAAATGTTTCTCTGACCTGATTATGAGTCTCATTCCCCAGGTTTAGGACCGAGGCTGCTGGTTTTTCCTTCCCCAGAGCTGAGCACACAGCAAGTGTTAAATAAATGCTCTCTGAATAGCGTGCTGGTGGTGCCTCTGGCTCCTCGCTGTCTGAGCTGCCCGTCTAGACAGTTAAAAGAGTAACAGAAGGGAGCCTTTTACCGAGCGCTATACCTCCAGCCTCCCTGTGGGGCTGTGATATTATCCCCATTTTCCAGAGGAGGAAACCAAAGCTCAGAGAGACCACCTCGCCATGCTGACTCCCCAGACCCTGCTCTTGCTTTCCTAAACCCTCCGACCCACTGGCGAGGGGAGGACACGCCTGTGAGCTCCTCTGACGCACTGGGACCCAGTGGGAAACAGACTCCGGAGAAGTGCTTCCCTGGCCCCTCTGCTGAGGCCCCTCCACCCCACCAGCCGGCAGGGGCCCTGGGCTCAGCTGGGGCTGCAGACCCGCGCTCTCCCCTGTCGGGGGCTCGGGGTTAGGGCAGGCAGCTCACACCAGAACCTCTCTCCCCCAGCCCGGCTTCAGGCCAGAGCCCGTGGAGGTGGGGGCAGCTGGCGGGAGGGGAGGCATGTCACCATATATCCCAGTCAGATTAAAAAACTAATTTGAAAAGATTAATGTATTCCATTCTTGTTACGCGGGCTCTGATACCTCTGGGCCCGTGGCCGCTCTGCCTCCTGATTATTGAATTTTTATGGCCTGGTAATTAATTGCAGATTCCCTGTTTTGTTCTATTTCTTTTTCTCTGACATTTTAATTTCAACAAAAAGCAGTGGTCTCCATGCAGGTTCTCTCTGGAGATCCTAATGGCCTATAAAACAGAATGACTTATAGACGTGGCACCCACTTCAGTTGGCGAGCGATTGTTTGAAACCTTGCTGATCACGCAAAATTTAATTTTTCCACCTCCCTCCCCCGTTTGCTACTCATTTCTTGTCTCTTCCATTGCAGCGCCAGCGTCTCTGCTCACAGGGAAGGGAGCAGAGTGTCGCCTCCGAGTCTCTTACAGGGCCTTTTCCTAGAAGGCCGGGGCTGAAGGCAAAGTAGGTTTTGATTCTTTTCCTCCAGGTGGCCTCAGTGGTGGTGGGGGGAGCTGGGCCTCCCCAGAGGGCCACGTGGATGTGGGCAGCTGCCCCCAGGGGAGCGCAGGGGCTGGGGAGAGGGGCAAGATCATTTCTACCCCCCTCAGTTGCCCTTTTGGCCAAATGCAGCTGCCCCATTAGGCACCCGCAGACTCCTGAGGGGAGAGCAAGTGGGTGCCCGTAAGCCCTTAGGTCCACACCAGGAGGTCAGGGGTTGGACCCCTGATGAATTCTTAGCCAAACCAGGTCACTGGGAACAGCTGTCCACACAAACTGGTCTGGAAGAGGCCCCTGAGTTTCTTTCCTACTTCTCCCAGCCTGCTAACATCACACAGGCTGGGCCTCTTCCCCCAGGGCCTCCCAGGACTGGGCAGGACAGGGGCAGAAGAGTAAGGTCATGGAGTCAAGCTGGGCCTAAGGGACTGGAACTCAAATGTCTTCAGGGGCCAGGCAGGTAGGTGAGGGGAGGGTGATAGGGAGCAGTGGGGACTGTGGTGCTCCAAAGCTCATGTCCCATCAGAGGGCATGGCGGTCACTTGTCTCCAGCCTATGCTGCCATGTGGGAAGATGGGCGTGGTGTGGCCATAGCTTCTGATTTTTCAAGAAAGCTTGGAAATCTGGCTTTTAATGTGAACTTTCATGATTGAAAACATTTGGGTTAGACTTTTTTTCCTTTTTTTAAAGCTCTGTGTTAAACTGAATACATCTTTGATTTTTGTGTCTGATCTGGCCCATGGGGCAACTGTTTCCTCTGATTCGGAGCGTGGATCGCAGAAGTTAGGACATGGAAGTGGAGTCCGCCAGGGCCAGGAGGGCCTCAGTGGCCGGCTGACTGCCCCCCGCCCCGGCCCTGCCCCAGGAATCCTCTTCTACCTTTGGGCCTTCAGTCCCCTGCCCACACTCAGGAAGAATTCTCTTCCCCAGCAGCTGCGGTGCCAGAGGCGCCTTTGGGCCTCCCTCCAGGGCTCGCCTTCCTCAGGCCTCCTCTCCATGGAGAAACTGCAGCCTGGAGTCTGACCACATCTGGAGGGGTCTGCTGAGCTGGGGGGCCCACAGCCTGGCCCTGCCTCCCCTGTGCTGAGATGCTGCGGAGCTGGCACTGGCAATGCCCCAGCCTCTAGTGCCTCGGTTTCCTCATCTGGCAGGCCGAATGGGAAGTGACAGCATGGGCTCCGGAGTCAGACGGACTTGGGTTCAAACAGTGGGCCCTCCACTCACTCTGTGGCTGTGTGAGCTCAGTGTCTCGACTAGAAAATGGAGACAATGCTTCTGTCTTAATGCTCTGTTGCTGCGTAATAAACTACCGCACGCTTAGTGGCTTCAGGCAGCACCACGTGTTGTCTCAGTGCTGTCGGTCAGAGGTCCGGAAGGCACGGCTGGACTCTCTGCTCAGGGTCTCGCCAGGCTAATGTCAAAGTGGCATCCAGGGCTGCAGTTCTGCCCTGGGCCCGGCCCTCTTCCAAGCTCTCTAGTTGTGGGCAGAGTTCAGTCCTTTCTCACGGAGCCCCTCCATTTTCAAGGCCAGCAAAGGCACCTCGAATCTTTCTGGTGCTTCAAATCACTTTGCTTTCCTCTTCTGCTCTTAAGGGCTCACGTGATTACACGACGCCCACCCAGAGAATCCAGGATAATCGCCTTATTTTAAGGTGAGCAGGTTAGTCACCTTAGTTACGCCGCAGAGTCCCTCTTTCATCTAAGATAACGACCACAGGAGTGGCAGTGGAGATCGTGAGAGGGTGGCAAGATCCTGCCGGCCACAACCCCCGACCTCTCTGAGTGGATGTAAGGATTAATATACCCCTCCCTGGTGCCCGTCCCCCCTCCTTGAGAACCACAGTGTTAGGTATGTAAATACGGAGCATTCCCTGCTACCGCACAAACAATGGGCGGTGGGGATGTTCCTCAGCCACCATCTCAAGTAGCCAGCATTGTCTCCATTTTCCAGATGTGCAAACAGGCTCCCAAATATCAGGGGACATATAAGTGGCAGAGCCAGGATGTGAGCCTGACTCCGTCTCAGCTTCACATAAAAGTTTGTCATCTCACCACTGGGCCCAAGTCCAGAGCTCGTGTATCTGGAAATTCATTTAGTTATTTTGAGAAGCATCTACCATGTACCGGCGATTTACCTGTGATCCAATTTCTCTGGTTCAATTCAGGTCCTGGCATCTGGGCGTTTCTGGGAGTTCCCAGTGGATGACAGGTGTGTGTTTCATGGTGTCACCTGTTCTTTCTTCCTTTTTTGGCAGGATAGCCAGGGGTGCCACTATCATGGCCACTCCTGGGCATTATCACTTCTGCTTGGATTTCATCCAAGATGAAATGCTTAGAACCATAGCAGCCATCTTGTGGCCACGAGGCAACAAGGTTAAGGATAAAAAACCTAACAGTGAGGATGGCA